GCCTGGAGCCTGCTTCGGATTCCGTGTCTCCCTCTCTCTCTGCCCCTCCCCTGCTCACGTTCTGTCTCTGTCTCAAAAATAAATAAAAACATTTATATATACACAAAATACATTTTGGCATACAAACTTGGCTATCTCCTTCAGAATTTCCATGATTTTGACTGCCAAAATGCCTTACAGAAAACAAACCAATTTATACAACCCTCTCTCTGCAGGACATGAGTATCACTTCCCCAGACTCTCACCCATGTGGGGTGTTATTTTTAAATTTGTAATTTTTTTTAATTACAAAGGAATGATTCTTTCCATAGTGGTATCCTGAAATACAATTAAAAAAAAAAAGAATATGTATGTTTGGAAACTAAACTTGCACAGTGAAACGTACCTGGTAGGCTCCAGGAGCCTATTTTCCTGAAGTGGTGGTAGGAGTATTTTCTGGGATCATTAAAGCACAATTCTGCTTGCAAGCAAGACCGGATGAGTGCTCAAGTTCCCAATTACCCTGCAGCCACCAAGGCAAATGTACACAAAGTGGTTCGTGCCTTGATGCCCCAATTTAATTGGAATTGCTCCTCTTAGTTAGTCTCTGTCCTTCAGGGTAACCCTCAGGCTACGTTAATATTCCACCAGTGAGAGAGTCTGTTGAGTTAACAGGAGCTTAATTTTTAAAATACTCTCGGGAGCACTAAGGGCAAATCAGTCACTCACACCTTAGTATGGATTACTTCCAACTGGCTGAAATCTTCTGATCCTGTAGTAAAGACCTACCATAATGGGCCATGTTGACAAGAACTGGGAAGAATCAACATTCACTACGGGCTACTCCGAGAAGGACATTTATCAGTGTGGGCAGGTGAGGTGGAGTGGGCAGGGAGCGTGGCACAGGGAGGAAAAAGCAGGAAGGTGCTGAGGAAGAGTTGGATGGCATGGAAACAGGGATGGAAAGTGATGTTTCAGGGCAACAGAGACTTAACCGCTTCCTCTCCAATTCTACCCAGGGGTTGACCATAGCCACCAATGATTCCAACCTTGTCCACTGCTAAATCCTCTGACGCAACAGCTAGGGCTGGCCTCTTCCATCTTGGAACCTAAGAGGCTCCCAGCAACGATCTACACTGATGAAGGGAGGAAATCTCGTTCACAAAACCAGAGATTTTGAAATTGTTATTGTCTGCTTTTTTTCTCTTGGCATTTTCTTTCTTCTAGGGGCCCAAACGCTTAGTGACTAACATCGTACTCATTTTTTTCTCCCATTATGAGCTTCCCACGTCACTCCTCCTGGTCCAAAATAGGGACGTCCCCGTAGGCCTTACATTTTCCTGACTATCAGCCCATTTCTCTCAGGCTCTCTCCTCACTCACTTCCCATCTGTTACAATCAAAGAGGTGGTCGGCATTTCCAATGAGTCAAATATTTGAGCCCCGTGCCATTCTTAGGAGACAAAACATTTCCATTGTTACAAGGATTCATAAACAAAGAAAGGAGAAACATTTAAATTTTTCAGATTTTCCTTCGGAAACATCCAAAGAGCAAATTTTAAAGCATTATTCATTTATTGAAGCTTCAGTTTCAGTCAATAAATAAAATTATTGCGATATGCCTATAAATTTTACTCAACGTGACTCTCTAGTGAGGTTTCAAAACCAAGTCCGTATACTCCAATTGTGATGAGCGGGACTTTGGCATGCATACGCTGCGAATGGAAGCCAAAGACAGGAACTGGGAACTCAAGAAACCGGCCTTCTGAATGGAGTCTCTTATCCCA